AACATCATTTGCAACACTCATTTGTACATGATTTGGTCTTGATTGTCTCCATGTACGTGTAAATGCTGTCTAGGTTAGATACTGATGACATTACCACCAGATACCATCTCAGAACCTCAAGCATTGTCTGTGAGTTGTGTTGCCAAGGAGTCGCATAGTCTTTGTGCAGTTCTGCGTGCTTTCTGATGCATTTATATCATTCAAGCGTACAAAAAAGACAATCCTTTGATGGTGTGAAACACTTGCATGATTATAAATTACATTAAATCAAACTGGAATTGAGCCTGTGTAAAGTTCTGTGTCAAATAATAAACCTGTAATATTCTCACAGACAGAACTATCAATTTGTGGTTGCAAATGCTTGAAGCTATGCTTCAACTCACTTCAAATAGAGTGCTATGTTTATCAAAATATTCTTACCTTATCTTTTTTCATTTTACCCATCATAGGACCCAGGTCTTCTAAATCTACCAGGCCAGAATTGCTCTCTTCTTCACCTTCACCTGCAGACTCCTCGCTTGTGCTTTCATACAGTACCTTGACAAAGGAAACAAGAAAACATGGGTCACCTAGCTACTAAATAAATGACAAAGACATTTCCAAAAACAGAACCTTTTAATCTTTAATCTATAATAAAATGTAGTTATTTGACAAGGTGTCCATGAGGTTTTCACCCACTTGATAACACTGACAGCACTGACCACCAGATCAATTTTTTTTCTCCGTAATCCCAAGTACAACTCTTTGGCGGTTTGAAAAAACCCAACTGGTTTGCCTCTTAACCCTTTACACCCTAAAATCAGTATGCAGAATTCTTCATACTGTTTTCTATACATTTCTAAAGGTGCTGACAAGGAGAATTTGTTTAATAATCAATCAATGTTAAGATTGTGATCATCATTTCCTTTAATCTCCTGACCTTATAGTCTGATGCAGGGGTGATAATGTAAGGAGAAATTAGATGCTGGTCACTCTTAGGGATCAAAGAGTTAAATAAATGCTACAGTTGATTTGATTTTAATTTGTGGACCACAATGAAATCTTTCGAGTCCCCAGTAATTGTGTAATAACACTAGTTCCCTTTCAAATTTATTAGACCAGACTAAATGAAATTAATATTATGTTTATGTGTCTTTTTCTTTCTTTCACATGTTACCTCATCATCTTGACCCTCATTTTCCTGAGGACCTTCATCACTCTGACAACAGGTTTCATCAACTTGAGAGTTTGATCCACTGGAACACTGACATACATTTCCCTTTGATTTTCCACTTGTGCCTTTTATGAAAGACAAGAAATCTGTTCTCCAGAATTTGAAATCCTCCTCTGTGCCTGAAAGCAAAGGAAAAAATTAAAACTGAAATGCATGGTATGACCCTCTACAGAAATTTCCTGTTATCTGGCAAATAACAATAGGTACCAGAATTGTGTCAAAACAGTAAACTTACCAAAGATACATTGCCAAGAGTGTCAAGAAATTCAGCTTTCAGGGACACATTTGACGATCCAAATAATTTTCTGTTCACTCTCTTGATCGCTTCTGTTCACAATTTTAAAACTTCTGTCAGCTTCTGTTACTGACAATTTCATCATTCCTTTCAGAACTACTCTCCTTATTAACACAACAAACTCTACCCTCATGTTTCAGAAATTGCAAAAAATGACCTAAAACCTACTTTCACTATTTAACCCATTACTTTTAACTGATTGTTTCAACAACTCCATACCTCCATGTTTGCTGTTGGCTACATTTTCATCTCCCATTCCAAAAGGAAAGACACGTTTTGCGCAAAGCAACTCCAGCCATTTATCAACTCTTTTTCCAACCTGACACATTACAAAAAGAGAATGTTTAAATATGAACAAGACAGAATTTCTTCTAACAATATTAAATGTAATATCAGGCATGAAAGTGATTGGACTAAAGAAAAATATCAAAAAGGGATTATCAGTTGATCCAAAATCAAATTCTCCAAATTAACATCATAGTATTGTTTGGCAAACAGTAGGGAGAATTACTGATGAGATCTTAGAAGTAAAAGGGTAAATGCCCAATCTAATATAGTTATTACTAGGTACTCATTTCAAAAATAATCATACAACCTTATAACCATTTATCATAATTTTTTTTAAATCCAAGTTTTACTAACGTATAACTTATAAGACTTATTTACCAAGTTAAACTTGTCTTCATAGAGTGAATTACCAAGACCAAACACAGCATAGTTTAATCCTTGCAGGAGGGATTTCTGCACACGAAAATCATTGGCAGCCTCCTCTAGCCATTTGTAAAACCACTGAACACTTTCTGGAGGCTTTCCATCCACATAGGTGCTAACAATAAATACACAAGTTGCTGTCTGTGAAGTAGAGAATTGAAAATAAGATTCACTTGAAACATACAGTAAATTTATCAGTTGTGATTACAGAGGGATGGTCGAGTAGGGTCCAGACCCTGCTCCCCTATATGTGGTTTTTATTAGTGCTTGTCCAGTACCAAAAGTGTTGCAAAGAATGAGTATCTAGAATTTACATACTAGTCTTGAAATATTTCCATGCTTATCAAGGCTGGAGAATTCAAGAGAATTCTGAGTTTTGTGTATCACAGTTTGGATCCCCCTCTCCAACCCCCTACTAAAAATTTCCTAGATCTCCCTTGCTTGGTAGGCAAAGTAGATCCCAATTGTATGGGACTGCAAGTGACCTGAACACTCTCCTTCCTTTGGCTCACACAACTGATACTGGTCACTTTCTGGCAAGTGCCTGACAAACCACTGCCCTGTTTTTCACATTCATTTAGATACAGAGCACAAGAAAAGTTAACCCTTTAAGAACCATATTTCTCTTCGTATAAACTTTCCTTCATCAGATCTAATCTGGTGATAAACCAAAAACTTAGAAATTTTCCCATATTTTTAACCCGTTAACTCCCAAGATTTGATTGTTAATTCTCCCCTTTAGCTGCTACACATTTCCTTGTGAATTAGTTGCAAGAACTTGGTGCTGGATCAAGAAACCAGCTTCTACCTGATAAGTTTTAATATTCTCATTACCTGTTTGCTGAGTTACGTATGATATTATAGGGAGAAGACTCATGTTAATCAATTCTGGGAGTTAAAGGGTTAAAGTGAAATTTATTTGCAGGCTACATTATATAGAAATAAAAAAATAGTGAAATTTGGAGATACCTCTTCAGAAAGATTGTCCTCTGGTTCATAATTCTTTAAATCCACAAGTTCAGCTCTCAACCCACTTTCTTGTGCTTCAGACTGTAGCAACTCTGCAAGATTCTGGAATTAAAAAAATGGTTATGATCAATGAAACACTTCAAAATCTTCTTTAAAAAAAGGTTCCGTATCCAACTGTTCAATCATTTGGCAATCACTTTACTTTTCAGCTCCAGTTAGCCCAAAGTCTGGGTCAGAGCTTATCTTCAGTGAGGTGAATCAGTAGGGTACTGGAATGAGTCAGATCATAAACATATTAAGTGAGTGTCCAACATCATAGAATATTGCTGCATTAGTCTTGCTTTACTGCATTTTAGGATGGGCCTAAAACACTAAACACATGCAGTTTTTCTGCCAAACAGATTCAAAACTAAACACAGCAATTTTCACTTGGCCACAGTATTTCACTTAATAATACATAGCTTAAAGTTGAATATACTTCAAGTTTTCACTGGCCATGAACTAAATAATTTTTAGAGCTAAGCTGCAAGATTAAAAATATTATCTGTCTGATACCCTATCCTTGTAACAGCTCAATGCATACATCACAATAATAATGATTTAACAATTAATAGGCAAATACAGCTCCTGCTGATGTACCTGAGCCTTTCCAGTCTGTGTTCCAAAGAATATTTTCAAATCCTTTGACACTGTAGTTTCTGTCTCATCAGTTGGAGATTTCAAAACTTTTTTATTTTCCTGCCAGAAAAAAAGGCCCTTTTAAGCCAAATGCTTTTGCACATAATAAAATATTCATTTAATAATATACACAGAGTCACAGAACAACTCCCAGTCATGATTTAACCCTTTACACCCTAACATCATTATGCATATTCTTCATACATTTGCAGACAAGGAGAATTTGTATAACAATCAAGAGCTTCTTTGATTGCTGATCATTTCCTATGTTCTCATAACTTTGATGTGTGATTCAGGGGGATATTTTGAGGAGAAATTAAAGGCTAGTCACTCTTTGAGGTCAGAGAGTTAAATCTCTTTCTGGATTCACAAGTTAATAATTATATAACTCTCTCTCTAACGAAAGATTTCCAGAAAAGAAAGAGGAAGGATAAGAGAAAGTCAAAAAGAGAGGAAGGATGGATACACTGAAACTTAATAACAAATTTATCAAACCTTCTCCTGCCTGGCTTTCCAACGTAAATATTCATCCCTGTGTTTTTCTTTGCCTGTGATCTTGATTATCAACCAAGTCAAACCTAATCCCCCGAGGATCAGAGTTCCTATGGGCGCTCTCACTGACATCCACCAAGTAATAAGACGATCTTGCCAGTTTGGCTTCCTCACAATACTTGGATCAATCGGAGAATGTGCTGCCGAAAAAGTAGGTTAGGCCATATAAGAACACAATACTAGTCCTCTTGTATCTCTTGTTTTTCCTAAAAAAGGGGAAATCTCAAGTGTGTTTCAACCCTTTTCCAACAAAATAATCTCCTCCTTTTCCTTTTTGTGTATCTCACAAGTTGTGGAAACGTGCGTGCTTCCGTTGAGGCTACTCGAAACTGGGGAGGATCTGAAAGGATAAGTTCTGATGCAATGTTTCTTTTGAGAACGCTGCATTTGTAAAGCTCAGACGACAACTCAACATTTATAACACTTACCATCTATATGAACAGATATCGATACCAAAAGTAAGGTAATTGCTATACAAAAATAACGCATCTGGGAACACGCTTCGTGGACCGCCATGTTTTTTGCGCAATCTGCAGTTATTCTTATACAACGTAGGTACTTTTCAGACCAAGAGCTCGGTTACTAAGTAGAGAAAGTAAAGAACGCCTGGCGAATATTGACAGAACGTTTGATCTGTTACGGACAAGGAGCAGGAAGTACACAGAATGGTGCGCTTTAAAAAAAGGTCAGTTTCACGTACAAGAACATCAGTCTCACTTATGGATTCTTGATTGCTTAAAACTAAAAAGTTTCCTTCTTCTTCGCTCCTTTTTAGGTATTTGTTGGTGGAAATTTCTTGTAAAGACGGCCAAGTTGATGAGAGAATTGATGGAAGAGTAGTCTTTGACACTGTGAAGAAAGCCGTGATCTCAGCTCATGGAGATTATGGAATGGCTTGTGTTGCTCGTTCATTGCAAGGTGAGAGAGGTTTTACCCATTTACGGAGAATGAATAAATCACGGAGAGAAGAAAGCTAAGAAACTGCAAAATTTTCTCGAGACGCTTTCTCAAAAGGGCAAGGAGTTTGTTAAGCCCAGCTTCTTGCTCGGCCTTAAGGTATTTCCCATAATAGATCTATGATAGGTATATTACAGGTTATCTTTTAATACCATCGTGTATATTTCTTGTAAAAGATTACGCATTTGGACGTTAGGGTGGAGAACTCTGAGAGAACCATTCAAAACTTTGTAGAGTACCCACCCCTCTCCCACCCCCAAAAATGCAGAACTAGTCAACACTACAGCACTTGCAATCGTTCTAATTTTCTGTATAATTTGCTTTGTATTTTATTTCAGTAAAGTATTTAAACTCTGTCACTGGAGTGGCATTTATTGCATGTGCTAGAGATTATTATAGGATGGTTTGGTCAGCAGTCACCTTCATAAGAACCATAACAATAAAAAATGATGGTCATCCATGCGTGTTCCGCGTTCTTCATGTTGGAGGTAATATGATGTTATTTCATTAATCCTTTTCTCCTTCTTCACACAATATCACAGTTGAATCAAATTTTAAGGTCACAAGAACAAAGGAAATCATCACCAGCTAAAGATGCTCTTGATGGCTAAACAAATTCTCCTTGTCAGCACCTTAGGAAACATAGGAGAACAGTATGGGGAATATGCATACTGATGTGTAAGGGGTTAAAGTATGGCAATGTTTCTGTTGAAATCCAGCATACACTGAACACATCATGATCTAGTGGTCAAAGCACTGAAATTGAAAATTTTGGATTAAATTTCAAACAACTTAAAACAGAACTTAAAACAGCTTAGAAGTAACCTTCACTGACTGGATTTCTATAACTAACACAACTCTAGAAAATAGTGGAATCAAATCTTTGCTCACCTATTCAATTTGACACATTGTCATGTAAGGGTGGCTTTGAGATTTTGTGGCTCATTGTTCACATCCAAATACATCACAACATCATTATGCATAATCTCCCCACTACTGGCTTTACATTTCCCATGATGCAGTCAAGGAGAATTTTGGTTAAGAATCAAGAGCTTCATTAGATGGCAATCACTTTCTTTATTCTCATAACCTTTGTGTTTGAATCCGTGATGAGACTGTAAGGGGAAATTAGATGCTACTAAAGGTTCAGAAATGGAAACTGGCCAGAAAAATAAGATCTGCCCTCTGCTAGATTTGCAGTTCTTTTAATGAACTAGTACTGACTTAACAGAGTGGACCCAAGAGCCTGTCACTTTGTGGTATTTTTGATGGCTCAAGAAGTCACACAGGCCTATAGACTGGTATGCACCTTTGCACTGTTAACCCTTGTTTTAACATTGGAACAAAGGTTGATTGTGTTGGATAGTGCTTCATAAAAATATTTTGACCTAAAGTAAAGGAATTCATAATAATTTAAATTTAATATCTTCCATTTTAGGTACAATTCTCTCCTGTCAAAAGTTCCTAATACGTCATAATAAAGACCAGCTCCTTCAGTTGTTGCAGAATTGCAAAACACCAGGTTAGTCGTTTTATTGAACTGAGACTCTTACATAGTTGATAACAAGAGAGGTTTCAACAGATGACACTATTTAGGTTAGAAGAGGTTTCTTTTCTCTGTTATCATTAATGGTAGCAATATAAACATCATGAGTAATAAATTTATCAATTATTGAAAGATTCTCTTTTTCTGAATTCTCTGTCTAAACTCTCTCATCAAAACAGTAACCAGTAAACAGATTCAAATCTCAGGCTGCAGAATTGCACTTATTATTATACCATGCAAAAATATAGGAAAAGCAAATTGGTCGAGACTTAAGTAACAACTATTAGTAGTTATGCAGATTTTGAGCATCCAGGGTTTATCACAATGGTAACCAGTGCTGTTGCCTTCAAGTTGTTTCACCAAAAACCAGTTCATTAATGTCTTACATCATTTTGCCAAAGTCTCAGGTAATTTGCTAACATATCATGGGTCATTTCACTACCATATTCAAAACATTTAGTGATTCCATCAGCAGAACTTGACCAATTCCAGTCCATTTTCAGCCAATCTTACACATATGTTTATAGCATTTCATTTATTGCTATTTCAAAGGAAACAAGACCAGTGAAATGACCTAAAACATTAGGGAATCAGCCAATCAAGTGTTAGCGAACTGACCTGAGAAATTGGTACAACTACTTCAGACATTAGCAATTTGGCCATTAGTAAAACGAATCCTAGCCAAAATGACCATAATTCTTTAGAAAAGATTTTTTTCATATTATTTCTATAGAGGGGAAAGAACTTTTGAGGAAAAAATTAGTGCTTCAACAAACACAAATAACTAGTGTTGAATTTTTCATTTTTAAGCCATACTTAAAGTAGTAACCATTGCATTTAAAATTTATTTCAGTTGAAAGGAAAAAGGTATTAAAGATCATAAAGAAAGCAGAGAAAGAGGAGATTTCACTATCTGTTTTTAAAGTGAAAAGGAAAACAACAGAAAATAGAAGGAAAAATTCTGACATTGCATGTGACGATGAAGAGTTTGACTCAGATTTATGAAGAGATATGTGATATATTCTCCTTCCCAGTGGAAAGAAATTTGTAATTTAAAAAAGAGCCCAAATCAAGTTAATTCTGAGAAGACAGTTTTGCAAAGTTTGATGCACAGAAGTGAAAAAATTTTCAACAAAAAATTATAGAATAAAGCAAATGTATATAAGTGAAGACCAATACTATTTTCCTCTCTAGCCATCTTTGGATTGCCTGTTTTATATACATGAGTCTACTTCTTAGTCGGTGTAAGCATCGCTTTAGTTTTATTTAAAACTTGCTGAAGCATATTGGTATAAAATTATGTTCTCAGGATCATTCTAGTCTTTCATCTCCTTCCTCTATATCCTTCAAACTGATCATTTCCAATGTTCCTCTTCCCCTAGTTTCAGCCCTGAGAGTTTCATCAATTATCCTGTAACAACCAGGATCTATGAGACAAACCTAGGATAGAGAACAAAAATTAAATTGGAGAACATGTATATTATGACAGAGTGATGAGAAAGGCAAGTGACATGTCAGCAGCTGATTGGCAAAATCAAACACACGTAAAAAAAATTATTGTAGTTTTACAGTGCAGTTACAGCTTTTCTCAGGGTTGGAAATCCATGTCATATAGTGCAGTTTATTTAATAAATGAGTTTATTCTTTACCAGTTAGCAGCACTGATTTGTAAACATGAATTTTTCATTTGATTCATCACACTCTTCAGTCTTCCTCACCATTTCCAAGTCCCCGCCTTGCCAATCCTCAGATTCAACAGTTGATATGTGTGGCCTCAGTTTCTCATGAACCTTCTTGGCCTCACGACTTGGTATGATCAACCTGAGGCGCATTTGGGCTCGTTCAATCTCCATGCTCTCCTTGAGTTGTTTAATGACTTCAAGAGCCTGTGTTGAAGGCCATAATTAATATGTGGGGTGAGAATTTTACAGAGAGACAAGTTAGAGTGGTTCATGAATTCATGAACCAGCAAGAGGTGTGATTTACCTCCTGAAATATACCTGACCTATGAGTTTTTTTCTATTTCATAAAAACCTCAAGATTTTCCTGAAACCTGGTGTACAAAAAGAGAGATTCACAGTTTTTCATTTCATATCCATGACACATGAATTTTAATTTCCAAAATTAATGCATAAAACAGGATGAGGATTCTCCCCCTTTACAAACCTCTGAAAAATTAGGAAAGATTAATAGAACATGGTAAACCATGATGATGCAAAGATAACCCCCTCCCCCTTCCCCAGTGCAATGAAATCTTGTCTTTGTTATAAACAAATCAAAAATTTTCCCATACCTGTTGTTTAGTGGTTCTGGTTGGAATAACTGAATAATGAATATCTTTCATCGCTCGTTCTATCAGACCCACTGGATAAGGTCTTTTTGTCTCTGGGTTCACACATTTGTCAGCCACAATAGTTGCAATGTCTCTGAACATTGATTCCAGTTGTGTGTTTCTTTCCTTCTCAGATACCTGTAGCTCTCCTTTTGCTAAAATCTATATAACAGATATAAAATGTGAATTTTGGCATAATTGTTTGACATCACCAAATTTACTTATTGGTAATATTTTATTTAACATTTATGTCAGGTCTGCTTTTGATATGACTGTTCACAATGCACACCAATATTTTACCACATCCTTTTGAATTGAATTAGGACAAGTAGGAAAAATTGTAAGGAACTTAAATTGGAGATAAATATTGCTCACCTGCAGACAAATTTCTGTCTGATCTGTGGTACCAAATGCTCGAGACAAATCATCATTTTTAGCTACCTGTCCCTTAGAAACATTTGTAAATACTGTATGTGTTTGAAGAACTTCATCAATGTCCTTCTCCCTGTACAAAGAGAAGGGAAAAAAAATACCTTTTGGTAGTCTTCCAATAAGAGGGGTTAAATTATTATGCTAAAGTAGATGTAAAACTACACAATTTGTAGTGAAAATGGAGTGTACAGAGCTTTAAGAAAGGAAGCCAGATTCTAAGGAGTCTGAGGGGTTTGTACGACTCCTTCTCGTGCCTCAAGGTTGCATTTCTTACAAGAAAGAAATGTACATTAAGTCACTGAAATGTCACCATCACGACTTTCCATCCAGAAATAATAGTGTTCTGAGCGTTATGAATAATAAGTTTGTTTCGGCTACCCTTTCCTAGCAGGGTTGTTTTGAACTATGCTTTAAATTTTGCACGAGAAATTATTAAAATCCGAGTTGAAGCCATTATATGTCGGTGTTCCTCAATCACGTACTGATAACATGAATTTGAGCACATTTCATTGTTTAAAACTCAATCACTAAATTGCAATGTCAGCACTGAGTGAAATTCTTTTCAAGGTACAGGTACTTACACTTTATTTCGCCATGACATAACTTTGTTCTTGTAGCAAGCGATCTCAAAACGTTTTCCAGATTTCTTCAACCTTACCACCGCTACATTTGTTAATTTTACTTGATTGGTTGGCGTAAAAATCGACATTTTGTATCAACTATTTTCAGTTTGGTTAAAGACGAAACCTTTCACTGACTAAAGTAGCTTCCACTGGGGGAGGGGTAGAGAGACAAATATTGTCGCGACGGTCCACTTTGAACTTTCCAAAACAAAATTATTCCGCTGAATTGATGAAAAACTATACCTGAGGAATTACCTCCGATAAGCATTGAAAATTACTGCTTCAATTTAAAATAAGGACTTCTATGATGTTTTGCGATCTAACAGGACCCTACTCAGTCGTATTTGTGTACTGCCTCGTAACCACGCTTCACGGTTGTCGCAACTCCACAGCCCTACATTAGCATAATTACTTTGGAGCGTTAATTATCAATAACGTGAGTTTGCATACTGTTTGAATCGCTATTGATTGAGCTTACAATAATTTGTTTTCGTTCAATAATTGGGGTTTCCGTTGAAGGAAGTGCGCCGGTATCTTGTTCAATTGTCAAAGTCTTGCTACACGTGCAAAGCCTTCGTGATCGGGAAAAACCGGAAAGAGGGTATTGCTGGATTGCAGTCACGTTGTTTACTTGACCAACTAGCGCGGTGAAGTTGTTGTTATTTCGATTTTTAAAATCAGAGATATTTTGAACCGGAATTGATCCTATTCACAAAAGATGAGTTGACAGGAAATGCCAACCACGGAGCAGTTTCTCCATGTGAGTGAGCCGAGTCGACGAATCACGTTGCCAACCGCGGGAAGTCGTAAAGAGTGGGAAGGGTACGAGACACCTCTGCTTCAATTTACGCGCGTTTTTCTGTGGATTTTTTGTATCTTATAACAATGATGAATGGAGATTTGGGGCACTCTTCGGAACTTCACATTTTGGAGCACAAGCTTCGCGTCTCCAACATTAAGAAAGATGCAATTTCTTTATACACTCACGCGCTAATAAAAATTTCGTTGCTACCTCGATCAAGGTAAGTTCAAATTTTAGCGCGGTCCATGCGGAGAACTTAACTCCTGTGTAACTGTGTAAAAACTTTAACGTTATTTTCCATTCATCACAAGATCATCGTAGTTTTATTCACAGAATGGTCATAGTTTTGGTGAAGCGCTCATCATTGCACAATCTTGTGAGATTCTTTGCGCGTCACGTCCTACCGGTGTATTTGTAATTTGATCAAGGGTGACTGCCATGTGTTTTACTGAGACATATTTTGTTTGGTTTTGCCAGCGTAAACTTATAGTTTCTGGTGTGATTTTAAATTAAATAAAAAACTCATTTATTGTGTTTTATTTTCCTTTACGCTTTCAACAGACCTAAGTTTTTCAGTTTTACGGAGACCAGAGATGGTTACACCATAATCGTGGAGGATGATCTTTGCAAAGGTAATTACTAAGAAATATGCTGTTTGTATACAATGCGATCATGCGAGAAACAAGGGGATCATGTATCACTACATGGAGCACAACACTGAGGCTCAAAAGAAAGTCTGTTTCCTTTGATTACAGACTGCTTTTGCAAATGTACTTGTGAAGTGTAAAATAACTGATATTGAGTGCCGCATGCGTACACAGCAAGGACGAATTGCATAATTATACACTTGTATCTCTTGATAGTGTGAGGGCCAAATTTGATGCAGTGACCGAGCAGATTCCTACAGAGTGGAAACTAAAGATTAAGTTTCCTATTTTATGTTTTTCTTTCGAGATTGAATACCGGACGTGACTTTGAAAACCTCACCCCATACAAATTCTATCGATGAATTTATTAATCCTAACTGTGTGCAATACATTCATTTTCACATTTCAAAGTCGTTGAAATTAGGTGGTATTTGCCTTTGTTTTGCCTGAGTATAATTTGTTTTTCTATAGAAGCACCAAAAAGGTAAATTGGAACACTCTTAAGAAATATTCCTTCTGTTTATTTTATGGAAGTGAATTTTTTTCCTGTTATGTAAATATGGTCATAAAATTGTTTTGCTATAAAAATGTGATAAATTCATTTTTTGTGATAACTCTCTCAAAACATTTGCATTTTCATCAGTGGACACTCTTGGGTTTTCTAAATCAATTTTTCACAACAAACAATAGGGTCATAATTAATTTAGCATCAAATTCATGCTGTACCTTCCTGTTTACATATAAGTCAACTAAATTTGATTCATTCCATGGTTCAGAAATTCATGCTGAGTAACAAAAATACCAAAGAAAACATGAAAATGTGCCTGAATTTACATTTTATTCCTAACCCTAAGCATAATGCAACAAAACAAACAAGAAAAATACTCATGGTTGTTGATAATGTATTGGAGATCAGTCATGAAATCTAAGCTGGATTTAAAAAGAAAAGATACCATTCAAATTTAGTCCAATCATTTTGCCCAACAGCCAGAGAACTATGCATTGTGTTATGATTATTATGCAAGGGGATGATATTTGCTGTATCAAGGTCTTTCTTTTTCTTAGTGATGAGTTATACCAAAATTATTTTAAACAGGTGAAATGGATAAATAATACTTTAATTAACTGAAGCAGTGAGATGTTTTTGTAAGTGTTGTCTCAGAAAATTTCAATATATTGGCAGTAAAATTGTTTACTGAAGCAAGGTGTTCCTCTCCAAAGGGATGGTTCTTTACTTTTTCCAAAAGGGATGTTACATTAGAACTGGTATCTTAGTCATTTTGAGATGTAATGTTATCAGTATTGTTATTGTTCTGACTAAGAACAGAGCACAAGAGATTTGAACAAATGAAAAAAAATTGAATTCAAAACAACAATTTCATGATGTAATTTTAATGACTTTAGCCAGTGGTTTACGTTACGACCAAGAGAGAACTTGAATCTTGGTGCCATCAATATTAAAAATAAATTACTGTGAAATAACTTCACCATTTCCTATCCTTCTTATAAGCATAGTAATTATTTAGGGTTAGATATATCAGCCCCTTTATTCTTTTGTTTCATTTTTGAACACTTCTTAGATAATGCATTTTTGGTGAGAAGAAAAACTTTTCCTAAAGAAAGTTACCTCATTCTTTTTTTTTTATAAACTTGATAGAAAATACCTTTCGTTAAATATGCAGATATTCTATACCACGGTGTGAAACATATTCTCACTTGGTGAAAATTATCACCAGGAATTGTTCTTTACTTTGATTAAAAAAAAGGTTAAAAACATAACATGCCTCAAAACTACATGGTGGTTTGCCACTAGCTCATTGAACAAAACAAATGTATTAATAATTGCATTTGTAAAATTTTTGGAGATATTTATTTTTTTAAACTATATAAACTGATTTACAAAACTGCCAGAAAAAACCAGCTGACAAGACATATTTGTCGAGGTGATAACAAGATTTTAAGTGCAATTTTGTGGTGATAAGCACGCGTAAATTTTTCAAAGACAACAAAATTTCATGAGCCTATAGGGCAACTTTGAAAATTTACAAATGCTTATTGCACCAAATTGGGCAAGAAATCATGTTGTTACTTGTTAATAATTTACTTGAAAAATGTATCACAGAAAGTCAAGACCAGGGAGCAAAGAAAGTCAGTTTTACTAACATCTACTAGCCCGAAAGTCATTTTAACCAGCCTGAAAAAAATTTTTTTGCAAGCAGAAAAAAAAGAGCTGTTTTGCTCTTAGCGCTGCCACACTGTAGATTTTTGCTGGGTCCTCCACAACACATGAATGATTAACATGCATTTTAGACATTTTAGTATTTAGAAACACACTTTTTTTAAGAGAAAAAATGGTGTTGAAACAGTGAAACCAAAGTTCTCAATGGACACATTAAATGATAACATCAACAACACAAAAAGCTTCCGGTGAAAGCACTTCATTCTCCAATTTGCCGCCAAAAGAATTTCCGGCTGTAATATTTCTTAGCAGCTGATAGGGGAGATATTCATATTATTAAAGAGGATAAAAATTTGATAGCTTCATCAGTTTGCTTCTCATTCAAAAGTAGTGCATTCAGAAGATCATTTTTCTAAAGAAGGCTTGTTTGGGAATTGGTTTCCCAAGTCAAGTTTCAAGTTCACAGGAAAAATTTTTTGTTTCATTTCTGGCAACTTTTCATCCGAAAGACTTTTGTGAAAAGTGAAAACAATACAATGTGGTCTACACATTTTAATCAACAAACACTTATGGTATCGCTGTTTAGAATTTACCATATTGTAATGCACATGACCAATATTTTCTGAAACAATAAATTTCTCACTGGAGTTCAGGACCAAAATTTTTTGTTTACATTCCTTACAAAAGATTATGAAGCAAAATTCAGACAAATAGCTTTCTCTGAATTAGTAAGAATTAGTTACGAGCAGCATTTACCTCCAAAGTTTTTTCAATATCTGCTTACATAATATATGCACGAGATCTCAATATATCTTGTCTGACATGTAATGCGATACCTTGTCTTGTTTATGCATATTTCACATTGTGAGAACGACTTTTGGTCCGCATGAATTTATTAGTAATTTAAAACATTTGTCTTACAGTACTTGTGTAATTTTAATTCTCCAAAGACTATTCACTTGCCCTTCAGGCAAGTTAATCACAGAATTCACTAGCCCGATCACAAAATCCACTAGCCCCGGGTTATCAGACACGACTTTCTTTGTACGCTGAAGATAGACGAAATTTTAAGAGCCCGCAGGCTATTTGTAATTTGCACTTGCAACTTTGTACTTGTGTTACAACTTTGCACTCATGTTACATGAAAAAGGCTCTCATTTTCAACCAATCAATTGTAATTTTTTCATTTTTAACTGTAAACAAAAGTTATACTGCCAAGTCGGAAGAGATGAATAGGTATAGGTCTGCGTAAATTATTAATGTAAAACAGTGCACTGGTACGTTTTAATCTGCCTTTGAATAAGCCCTGAAGAACAGTATCAGGCTCAAATCAGAGAATCAAAGCATGCAGACTTTGATTTTAAATTTTCAGCAAAAATTACCTGTCACTTACCCATTTGGATGTATCAGTGTGAAAATAAAAAGACAACAGTTCTCTACAAAATTCAGGGTTTCCTTTTCTTACAATAACTTTGTTGTATAATTTTTTTTTTTTTTTTAACTAAACTAGTTAAACTAAACTAGAGAGCAGCACTCTGCAAACAGTAATTGTAAAACTTCTTTATTTGCCGTCACATTTCATCTAACTGTCATAGACTTCTTCGGGAGTTTTACAAGTTTACAAGTTAATGCTAAACGCCTGTAATTATAAGCCATAGTTAGTGGCTATACGGGGGCCAATGACCATAAAGGCTTGGCCGGACATATGAACAGGAAAAGGAGAAGTTGTGAAAAATTTGAAAAATTTTTTTGGCCAAAGTGAGAAAAATATTAGGGAGCTACAGTTTCAGTTAAAACCATACATACCTTTTGAGTCGTTTCACCCTTCTAGCAACAAGAAAGCTTTTGTAAAAGGGGAGCTTGTGAGATATGCTAGAAACAGTTCTTCCTTTAAGTCTTTCTCTGAGACTAGGGATAAGTTCTGGAAGCAACTGCGAATTAGAGGCTCTTTTAAGTTTTCACTGTTACTGTTTCATGATTTATGTTACAATGACAGGAATAAATATTTCTCCCGGCTACTTAATCATAGATCTTGGCAAGGCAGGATTATGGTCTTTAAGACTAGGTTAAACCGCAGTCATGTCTGTATTAAGAGTGTTATCAATAATGTTCTGCCAGACTTAGATTGTAATGTGTGTTACAGGAAAAATTGTCACAATAGCTAATCTATAGAAGTAAGTATTTTTGGGGCCCACAGTTTCAGCTAAAATCGTGACCCCCAAATATTTTTCTCACCTTGCCCAAAAAAATTTTTCAAATTTTTCACAACTTCACCTGTTCCTGTTGGTATATCTGGCCAAGCCATTATGGTCATCAGCCCCCATACAGCTGCTAACTATGGCTTATAAATACAGGCATTTAGTATTAACTTGTAAAACTCCCTGAAGAAGTCGATGACAGTTAGACAAAACTGTCATAGTTAGACAACTACCGTTTGCAAAGTGCTGTTGACTAGTTTAGCTTTAAAAAAATTGTTTAAAAAATTAATTTAATTAATTAATTAAAAAATCATGCAAAAAAAATTGTTCAAGTTTTCAAAAGGTACGGTTTTCCTTAGTTGATCGAATCACTGTTCACCTCTCCCTCCACTCCTCAGTACAAAGTTGTGTTTTGTCTATCTGTTAGTGTGGTTAGAGCAAAAAACTGTTTGGGGGAGGGGAAAGGTCTAAATTGAGAGAGAACTTGTAATGAAATAAAGTAAAGTGTGTGGGTCCCAAATACTTTAGCCATTAATGAGAGGATATGCAGTAGGTTCCTATTATGTTTGCATTAAATCTGAAATCAAAGTTACACTGTATTAATATAACTTCATTCTTATAAAATGATAAACAAAAAGTCTAATTAAGTGCTAATAAGTCTATTATTACATGCCTCACAAGGCTCTAAGGCTAAAGTGTCTCTGCTGTTGTTGACAGAGCTTCCACAAAGTGAGAGCATTGACATGCCTGACCTTATCTGGCGAGTTCTGACTGTGTCTGCAGGAGCCTATGGAAGCCATCAGCTGACTGGAATCAGTAGAATTGTTAAAACAGTCATTTCTCCCTTGGCAGATTTTAAAATCTCAGTTCTGGTCATTTCAACTTATCAGTCAGACTATGTCTTGGTAGGTTTTTTAGTCATGTATCATTCTCACTGAAACTAATAATTATTTGGTTTAGAGTGTTCTCTTTGTTCACCTCAACTGGTAAACTATGGTTTTACTCTTTGTAAGCATACAATCAATTGTATTTATTCTTTTTTAGGAGGGAAACTGTTCCTTGATTTTGTAATGAATGTCAGGATTTGTGAATGAATGATGTTTAATTAACCTAATTGAACAATTTTTTGATTGAATGATACAAGTTTGATCCAGGTATTAATAATGAGCTTGCAGTCTTTCACTTTTTAACCATTTAACTCCCAGAAGTGATCAACATAAATCTTCTCCTTATAATATCCTTATATTATCCAGCAAATAGGTTATGAGAATATTCAAACTAATCAGGTAGAAGATGTTATCTTGATCGAACACCAAGTTCTCATGACTAATTTACAAGGAAATGTCTAGCAGGTAGAGGGGAGAAGTAATAATCAGATCTTGGGAGCTAAAATGTTCCTTATTATTTTTCTCACCTTAAACAATGAGTTGATGGGCAAACAAATTTAACTTGTAATTTGGTTTTTTGTTAATTTTGTTGAACTCCTCTTTTTCTGTCAGGTGAGAGAGAAAGATCTTGAAACTGCCATAATGTGTCTTTCCGAAAATTATAAAATTTTTAAAGACAGTGGATCAGGACTTGAACCTGTGACTCTTTCTATTAAGGATAGATTGGTTGGAATGAACCAAATGAATGAAAGGAAAGCAGGTAAATTTCCAGTGGTTTTCTTTAACGCTGTAATATCCTCAGTTTGATTTTATAGCTATTTGGTTTTTGTGTGCTTTGCATACTGATGTGTAACTGGTTTTTTTTTTCTTTCCTTTGTTTGGCAGATGAGCACAGACCAATTATTCACCCATTCACATGTCCAATGAACAGATTTCATGTGACCAGTCTAGATTTTCGAATGCTACCAAGCCTCACTACCACCATTCTTGAACTGATGTTCTATTCTGAGTAAATTTTTTTGTTGTTCTTCTACTGCTATGAAATATGTTATTAGATGTTAGCTTCTAAGTGTATTAGCTGGCTCTCTAGGTGTAGACTTTGTATTGAATCCACCTCCTTACACAGGTTAAGTTACAAGTTACTTCTTTGAGAGTTTCTCCCCCCAAAAGAGTTGATACATACCTCTTACTAACCAAGTTCAAAGTCCATACTGTAAGTGGAAGGAGAGTTTTTTCCTGCTTGGATTTATGACCCAAGGGCTACACTAGTAATCCCAGCTGAAAAAATGAGGCTCTGTAACTTACAGTACAGTCCAAGAAAACAAGATCAGTAAGATATTTATTATATCCCTGAGTTCAAATAGAGTTATAAGATCTCTATTCCAACTACCCTTTTAATTTTGTGGATGTTCAGTGAAATACAGCCTGATGAATTGGCTGATCATAGCACAAATGCATATATCTTATTTGACATTTTGATGTGTAGAATCACTGAATATTTTCAATAATTTATATGGCTCGTTTTACCCCAGAACACCTGATGATGGACGATATGAACCTTTCTTTCACATCTCAATTGTTGAAGGAGACATTTCATTAGTTTTAGACAGTGAGGCTTTGTCAAGGTAAAGGTGAAAATTTTGTATATGTTTTGTCTCTTAGCTTGTACTTACATTTTGAGAATTCTGCCATTGTAAAGTTATTTTCAGTGTGCATGAATTATATTTTTCGATGTTGACATGAAAAGTGCGACCAATTGTACTGAAAGAATAGCTACACAAACTATCATGATGGTAACAAGGCCACTGAACTGGGTTTTTATGTCAATCATACTATGATTTTGTGTTTAGTGCAGCACAACAGAAGTTTGGCAACCACATTTTGACACATAAAAATCCTGTTGTTGTCATGTTCAGCTGGCTATGTTTCCAGTGACAATGTGTCATTTTTACTTCTTTTTCCTGACTTTTATGTTTGAGGGTTGGTGAATAATGGCTCTTGAGATTCAGTTACCTTTTGGAAACAAGGAAAGTTTCCATGCTGACAATGTAATTTTACGGTCAAAACTGTCCAGTATCACCTAATATTGATAAAATTGATACCTTAGTTTGTAGCTTTTCTGCAGTGATAGAAAATTGTCAAGATGGTAACATAGTCTGTGATCAATATGCTTGAATTTGTAGAAAATTTGTGTCTCAATGTGCTTTTTTTTTTTTAAATATCTAGATTTCCTGAAGGTTCACTATACACAAACACCAATGATGAGGGATGGAAAATGATTCGTGTTGGAGATGACCCCCTAGGATTTGGTCAGTTTTTTTTTTTTTTTTTATTCTGATTTGAAATGAGCAAGTGAAAATTTGGTGAATAAGATGTTAGCTTAAGACTAGTGCATACAAACAGACACTCAACAGGCTGACACTGTGATGCATGTGGCTCAACCAGACATCAGACATTGTATAAGAAACGAGAAAATTGCTGATTTAGGTGACTGCCTAACTGATAACAGATAGGTGGATAAAGTGGTGCACTGATTCACTGACTCAGACTGGCTGACTGACGGACTGATTGACTCAGACTGGCTGACTGACTCACTGACCATCTGACCTACAGAATGACGGTCTGCATGACAAATTGACTGACTCACTGACTGATTCGCTTACCTACTCAGTCACTTGTTTTGCAAAGGTTATTAGAAAGGTGTGAACATTTGATACAAATCAGTCATAATAGAGGTGTGGCCTGCAAACCCGAAGAGTGATCATAATTTTTTATATCTATTAATATTATTATTATTTTTATAATTATCAGTATTGCTAGTATTATTGTTATCATTGTAATCTTTAGTGGCTTCCTTTATAAATATGTAATGATACACTGCACTGTTGTGTGTTGTGTAGATGAAAGTGGCGTTGCTGCCCAGATCGCAGAACCTTTAGCAGATGTTCAAATGCCTACTTATTACATCAGTACTTATGGCCTTGGTCATACACTGGTATGTACAAACCTCTGGGTCATAGAGGTGTTGTGGGAAACTTGAACAGAGTACTAAAGCTTTCCTTGGCAACAACAGTTACACCAGGAAATATTAAATTGTTGAATCTCCCTTCTTGAAAACAGGGCATAAAAACTCAAATTTTATTTAATGATAAACCCCCAAGAAAAAAATTGTGGAGGATAACAAAGCAATGTGTATGTGAATAAGAGGCTTATCTCTTATCTCTTGAGGGATCTTTGATTGATTTTCAGCCTCCAGCATCTTGGAATATTATCAAATGATAATATCAGTGGCTTGTCTTTGTTGTCAAATAACAAAGGTGCCTGTAATTCAGTTGCCATCAAAATCTTAGAGCTACTTTTGGCAAGTTTCCCGCAGCTACTTTCCATTCATCCCTGGATTAATTTGAAGCCGTTTGTGTGTTACTTTTAGAGGAGAGTGGCATAGTTGCTCAGTTATCTGAACCATTAACTGAAGCTTCATGTAGCACTTTTTACATCTGTACTTTCCTTTATGATCATCTTTTGGTATGTACTTTTAATTGCTAATCATTCGTTTTATTAGTACCTTTGATGAATTAATCTTTTCTGTATCATGACTAAGAGTTGGGAATCCACTAACATGAAACAAATTTGGTTGTCATCACCATTGCCTATGTTAATGCTGGTAATATTATCTTGGTTAATAATATTATTTCTTCAAGGAGTCTTTGCAGTTGGACTTGTTGATTATCTTTCTGTCCTCTGTGGTCAGTGAGGAATTTTCTTATTGAGTATCGCTGAAAGTTATCAGGAAATAGCTTGTAGCCCTCCTATTTTGAGAATCTTCCATTTTCAGTGATCTTGCGCAGCCTCTCCTTTTAGCTTAATATTCACCTATGTTTTGTAGCTTTCCTCTAGCAAAGGTAGACAGTTTCCCCTGTTTAACTAGTTGTTTTGGAACAATCCTCTCTTGATTTTCTGTGGCATCTTCGAATGAGCCTTTGGTTATTTTTGGAGCACAATAACTCAGTGCAAGGTTTGCATTTGTTTGTGGTGTTCCCAAAATATCCCTTCTTTATTTTAAAGCATTGGAATTTCTGCTTATTGTTTCCACAGGAGTTAAATTTGGCTTTTTCAAAAATAATTTGAAATTCAGATTTGCAAGAAAACTTTACCAGGAAATTGGTCCTGGGAAATGTACTACCAGAATGTGGAAGGAAGAATTTCTTGTGATTGTGATAAGACTTTGTTTTTATTTTCAATTTCAAGGTTCCTGAGAGTGAAGCTGTCAAGGCAATAGAACTTCTTAGTTCTCTACAAGTATTGAAGGATTGATGAGAAATGTTATTTTATTGTTAATTTATTGTTCATTTAGTTGAATTGGATAGATTTTTAATTGTGTGTCTTAAATTCATTCATTATTGTAATTACAACTTATTCTCGACAAGTTTATTTAATCATCATCAATATGGGTCAGGCGTAATGAACTTCCATTGTTTACGTTGCTGACAGTTCATCAACACTTGCATATTATACCTTTTGTGATCACACCAAAGGTTTTTTTTAATTTTGACCCTCTAACCCTTAGGGGCTGGTTTTTTACAGGAGGTATAATCCAAACTTAGTCTTTACGCAGGCAGTGGGCTTCAGGCTTTGTCTTTAAGAAGGTTGATTTAATTAAATTAATGTCCTTCTATTGTAAGCTTTTGGCCATCTAGACACTCTTTACAAAAATTAAATGTTCAGATAAAAGGTTTGGCTAAATTGAAGATGGCAACTTCAGATTGTCTAAATAACCGACACTAGGAGTGGTCAGTGCCTAATTTCTCCTTACAGTAATATTTACCCCTGAATCATTTATCAGGATCATTAGAATTTCTACGAAGGAAATGATTGCCAGCCTAAGAATTTTATTTGTTAACCCTTTAATTCCCAGATCAAATTTGTAATTCTCCTTTCTATCAACCATACAATTCTTATAACATTAGCTTAGAGAATTTAGTATTAGATCAACTAATTATCCCCAAAATTGATATTTTTCTGTATTCTCATAACCTATCTGGTTGATATTGTACTAATACTCTAAGGAGAAATTCTGTCTTGTCATCCATGGGAGTTAAAGGGTGAAAGAAATTCTCTTGGTCAGCATCAAAGGAAATGTACAGAGAAGAGTGTGAAAAATAGGTATACTGATGTGAGGGTGTAAAGGGTTACTGCTTTGCATGATACAGCAGTTCAAATTATTTTACAGTTTGTGTACATTGTGTATGATATGTTGAACTTCTTGTGTAGACCTTTGGTCAGATGTTTTTATCTGAGTTGAAAACATTGTGAGAGTGTTAGTAGGTTATAGAGTTATAAAGCTGTCATTTTCTCAAATCGGATGTCAGAGTTCCATGGTATAGTTACAGGTAGATATGCCATTAGAGGTGATTTGTTGCCTCTTTAGATGAGTGTTACATCTGTTTGAATCACTTATCATTCATCATTAAATTTTGTAAATTGGAGTGGATATTAGTAATTATTATTTATATTATATTACATATTTGTATTTTCAAATTGTATATAATTTATTCTAATCAAAACTTAGGCAAAAAGGGCATTTTGTGTTCAGGCCTTTTGTCTATTTAATTGAAAATAAATATTTTAATTCAAGTTATGGGATTCTGATTGTTTTATGTGTTTGTTCTTTATGTTATTCATATACAAACCATCCATGTCGGCAGTCAGTATACAAGACTAAAAGGCAAAACTGCATCAGGTTGTTTAAGATTATGGAGCACAAAGTGGTTTTTTTTCTCCCCCCTCATGGGAGTGAAAGCAGGCTTTTCTCTAACATTTCATACAGTCCCCAAGAAAAATTGGTCATTTGGTTTAAATTTACATCTGCTGATGAGGCCCTACTCTCAGTTTACAGAGAGGGGATGTTTGACTCTTCGAATGCAGGGAGCTTAGTACATAGAGGGAATTACCAGTAAGAGAGGGAGACTTCTTTTGCAATGTTTCAGTATTGTGACTGAAGCAAAGCAGGCTAGGGACAGAGGCTGGGATTAAACCATCACAAGAAAGAATACTACAGTAATATTACCAACCTGAAGGTAGCCTAGGATATCAAACAATTTCGCTAAATATTTTATTTACAAATGTACAGGACAGTATAGTTACATTTAATATCACTCATGATAAAACAAGGTTCCATTGATTTTTCACAGAACTGAATAGAGAAAACAGCCACACTACTTCCTTAACATGGATCAGACCATCAAACCTGCTACAAATGAACTAGTTTTTTTTTTTTCTCCTGTTTGAATCTGTTGCCTTGTGTGTTCCTGGTTTGAGATCTTGTAGAGCATGTTCTAAATACCATAGGCAGTGGAGCTAGGGGTTGGAATACTCCCTAATTTTTGGGTACCAAAAAATGTGGCTGGCACAGTATACAATTGGCTCACCAAAATATTCAGTCTCCTGATCTTCTGCCAAGTTGTTGTCAGGATCAAGCTTGAGCAAATTATACATTGCACAACTTTGTCAAAAAAAAAACCTACTTGTGCATCCACCAAAATCAACACTGTACCCTATCAAGATTACAGAGACCTTGATGTCTGCCAATTAACTAAGCAAAGGGTATTTTTAAAAAAAAAGAGAAAGTGTGAAGGAGCTACTGCTTGGCTTGGTGTTAAATGAGCCCACCCACATCTCTAAATTCTTTGCCATCTCTAGAGACACATCTTGTCCACATTTCTTTCTACACAATTTGCATTGTTCACGATGGTTCACCCTCAGTTGTAGAACCTGTTTGTCCTGATGATTTTGGTAAATTGATCTTCATTCTTTTTCGGGAATAATACTGCCAATGGAGAATTTGCTGTTCATCAATGAACTTTGCGCAGGCAGGGTTTACAAGTTCTCTGCGAAAATGTTCATATTGGAGCAGCTCAAGGAAATGTAGACACTGGGGATATCTGTGAGTAAATGAAAAGAATAATGGGATTTAAAGAAACAAGAAAGATGGTAAATTTTGAGAAGAGTCATCAGATACAAAAAGATATTATAATTGATTCCTTTTTTAGACCGCATGAGACAAAGAAACATTCTGAATCTGAGGGATTTTGAAAAGTTCTCTTCTCCTCTGCTCATAAACAAATACACCGATGACATCTTTATTTAACCCTTCAACCCCTAAGAATGACCAGCATCTAAATTCTCCTTACAATATCACCCCTGGATCACATAGGAAAGTTCCGAGAATGAGGGAAATGAAAAACAACTCAAGAAGCTCTTGATTGTTAAACAAATTCTCCTTGCCAGCATCTTAGGAAATGTGTTGAGAGCAGTATGGAGAATATGTGTACTGATGTCAGTGTGTAAAAAGTTTAAAAAATATTAGGAAACTTGTTACATTTTGAAAAAAGCAATCAAAGAAATAAAGATGTTATTATTTTCGTCAAGGCAAAGGTCAAAGTAAAATTCTTTTTTTTTTCCTCCAGTGCTCAAGAAAAGTTAAAAATAACATTTATTTCTTAAATTGAGGGATTTGTTTTTCAGGTTCACAAAACACTGAGGAGGGGGCTGAAAATATTACTGCTTATCTTAGTAACCCAATAGAGCAGAATGCAGTAAAGGGGCAAAACCAATTTTGGCAAAGTTGATACATATCGTCGTGACAGTAAACACAAGTCTCAATTATTATAATAAAATAACACTACCTCTTCTACTTATTGCCACAACTTTTACATTAAATAGTACTTACTTTAAGAATTTTGCATATTCTGGCTTCTTCCAATAAAGCAGATATTTGAGATAGTTAATGAAGGACTGTTCTTTAAAGTACCCTCTTTGAGCAAGAACTGCAAAAGATTTCAGAAGTGACTATTAGAAAATAAATTATATTCAAGATAGTGTGAGGACCTCCCAACTTTCTTTTCCCTCCTCTCACATATGAAGGCAACAATGACTTGATTGAAAAAAAGGGAAGCTTTACACGACAAAGAAGGGTAGAAAACATGACTCAATAAATTTCTTATTCTAATCATGAGGCATTAAGACCAAGATGAATTTAAAAAGCCATTACTCAGTGCTATCTTCACCCAGAGCTCTCTAGTCTCATGCAATGAGAGCAAGATTCACACTAAGGAATTCAATCTTGCGCTCTCTGGCTAAAGCCATCACTTCTCACATTTAAGGTTTCTGATACAAACGTCCGCTCCAGTGCCTAAAAAATTACTTATCCTTTCAAATTTACTTCTGATTCTCTTTGTACTAACTTAGAGCATGTTTCAACAATGAAACTTCTCACTCAGAATAAAGCAATGCTCATCTTAGCCACAATTCTTCTTCTCCTTTCTTTCCCAATTTTCTGGGGGGGCATGCTCCCATACCCTTCCAGGTAGGAGATGCCCATGGCCTCTTTCTCTTTGCCAGTAAATCAACTAGAGAGCTCTGTTTCACCCCTGAGAAGGTGAGTAACATACTCCCCTATACAAATAATAACATAAGCCAAACACTGAAATAAATACACTTAGCCTGGAAGGGTATGATTTTTGAGGCGTTTTGGTCTGAGGAAAAGGTTGGAAACTATACAATTATGGCCTCAAATCGGGTACAATATTCATGGTTGCAACTACCGGTAGTCTATTCGATTCTAAATGAATAATAGACAAAGATCTAGAAAAGTACTCAAAATATATTATCTACGCTAAATTTTGGGTGAATTTTGCCAACAGTCTTTCTGGTTTGATACCAATGATCAAGAAGCTAGGGAAAAGGCAAACAAAGATATCTTTTAACTAAGGAAAACTTACAATTCAAATAATGAGGATTTGCCAAACATTGCACAAACTCCAGCTCAACTTGAAACCTCAGCTGTGTCCGATCTTCAATTTCTTTATCATGAAAAAATAAAAAGTCTTAAATTAGAATATAAGGTGAAAATTTCGAGTAAACAACCTAAGTTAACTTAACTTTAAGTGTACCTTGTGAGTTTGTTTCGGAGGTGTCCATCATAGCGGCCATGGTAAGTTTCTTAGAGGACATTTAAGTGAGACCTACTTGAAGAACAATTTGGAAGTTTATCTGCCGCTGCTTCTAATGCTTGTCCTATCGCTTCATTGTGCAGCTAAAAAATTATGGACTGCATTCAGTTCGGTCAACATGGCGGACGACTTCGATAGCAGTGGTAGTGGCCGGGGTGGTGGATTTTTCGACAGTTTCGGAGATGGACCAAGGTAATAGAGCCATGTTGATTCTTTCGCTTTCGATTCTTCCCCTCTGGTACTAAAATACGCTCAATCTGTTTCTATCAGGGATTATGGTTCGTCCCATGGAGGCGGAAGACGGCGTGGTGGCGGAGATCGTTACAGGGATCGCGCACCGAAACCTCTTCCAAAGGAACCTCCATTTACTGCCTTCGTCGGTGGACTTCCGCCGGATACAGTCCAGGGAGATCTTGATATTATCTTCCAAGACATCAAGGTATGTTTTCATCACGATCAAAGGCACTTCAAATACCGCCAGCTTACGATTTCGCACATGGCCCTTGGTTTATCATTAGGAAAGCTGCATGGCAGTGTACAGCGAGCACTTCGGGAAAGCTTTGTGGTATTCTGTTTCTTCACGTCGCCTCCGGTGCAAAAGATCTTAGGGATCAGTGTGAATGGGCCCTGCGCTTTAAGGCAGAAAAATCAACGGTGTAGCTGGCTTTAGCGAGAAATTCGATCTTGAAACCATAAATTTCTTAACCTCATTCTATTTTTGAGGACTTACAAGTGGTTGCGCGCTTGTCTCCTAGTGAGATTCCCATTATTCTGTTTATGCACCAGGCCCAACATCATACACCTAAAAGTGTTATTATTTGGTCAAACATTAGCTTTTATCGAAGCATTCACGTAATTAATGTGTTATTTAGTATGGTCTGAATTGTCGGTAAGGTTTCTTGATCAATGGTGCAGCTGTTTAACTTTAAATGAGAATGGAGGAGGGGGTGCGGGGGTGAAGTGGGGGTTTGAAAGTTAGGGAATGGGTAGGAGGCTAATTGGATGTAAATCAGGGGGAGAAGTAATGAACTAATTGCTTTCAATTTTATGGTGAAATCAGAGGAAGAAATAGCTTGCTGGCCCAGCTGAAAATTCAAGTGATCTCGTGTGTTCAACGTCTTCTTTGTCAATGTCTTAAAATCCTTCTTGGATTACCAGTTTGGTTGAATGAATAACCCATTAAATAATCTATCATCTCTTTAAATTTGAACTGACATGGCAAAATTGAGAGAATTTACTGTCCAGTGTTTTTTTTGTCATAGTCATTTTTGTACTGTTCATGCTTTGGAACATGAGATAAAAGTCTGAATGCTCCTGCTAACCATTAACAGATAGCAATGGCAACACCAGACTTCCTGTTCGTTCAGCTTTGTGTGTTCTACGGCAGTTTAATGTTTTAGTCTGAAGCTAATAGTAACATATTTTGTGATCAGGACAACATCAGAAGCATTCGTCTCGTAAGAGATAAAGAAACAGACAAATTCAAAGGTAATGAAACATTTTTGGCAACATACAAATTATCATCATCATCATAATTATGTATGACTATCATAATTATCATAATTATGTATTACTATTACAGTTACTGTTGCCTTTGCTATTACTGTATTACCATGACCATTATCATCATCAGTACAGTCAAATCTTTATTAATACAGCATCTGCTTAATATGGCATTGTGTCAAGCAGTCACCCTGTATTAAGCAGTCAGTTTTCAAAGTCCAGAATTTGTTTCCCTTAACTCCCAAGATCTCATCAGTAATTCTTCATACTGTCTACCATATAATTCTTGTGATGTTAGTTTAGAGAATTTGGTATTGGATCAACTAATAATCCCCTAATTAAGATTTTTCTTTATTCTCATCACTTATCTGCTTGATTTTGTATTGATATTGTAAGGAGAGATTCTGTCTTGGTCACTCTTGGGAGTTAAAGGGTTAATCACTGCAATTTTCACCTCTATTAGACGGTCTACTAAGCAGTCCCAGGCACCTCAGGTGAATCCCAACTGCCTGTTTGTAATGTCTTGCATCTGTATTGAACAGTCACTTAAAAAGCAGAACTAATCAAATAAAACTAAGAATAATCTTTCAAATAATACTTATTCCATGTTTATCTCCCAAAATCAAAGTTGATAGTATATTTGAGCAATTTTTTATGCATGAAATCTATGCACATCTATGCATACCATGGTGTTTTTATTGTTTCTTATATTATTCCTATTCTTTCAAACCTATATTAACCCTTTAAGTCCCACTAATGACCAAGACAGAATTTCTCCTTACACTATCAATATGATATCAAGCAGACATATAATGAGAATAAAGAAAAATATCAATTAGGGAATTATTGGTTGATCCAATTCCAAATTCTCCAAACTATCATCACATAAATTGTATGGTGGACAGTAAGGAGAATTTCCGATGAAATCTTGGGAATTAAAGGGTTAAACAGTCTACCTGTATAAAGTGGTCACCCCACTATTCCCAGTTAATCCTTTAAACCCTAACATCAGTAAGCATATTCTCCATACTGTTCTCTATACATTTCCTGATGTGCTGGCAAGGAGAATTTGTTTAACAAGCAAGAGCTTCTTCAGATGGTGATCATTTCCTTTATTCTCATGACCTTAATGTTTGATTCAGGGGTGATATTGAAAGGAGAAATTAGATGCTGGTCACTCTTAGGGACTAAGGGGTTAATACAGGTTTGACTGTAACATTTTCATTGTCACTATCATTTATCATAATCAGTTTATACTCATCACTATTATCCCTTTCATCATCATTATTATTATTATAACAACTACAATTGTATTGTTACCAGGCTTTTGTTATGTTGAGTTTGAAGACCTGGTCTCACTGGAGGAAGCACTGACTTATGATGGGGCTGTAAGTAACCAATTTTTTTTTTTCCAGCAGGCTATGCTTACGTCCCTGTCTAGTACTACTAAAAGTACCTATTATCAAAAAGCACAACAACTAATTGGTAACAAATTGGCCCTATGAGATTATGACATTTAGAAGTCAAAACAATAGTTAAGATCAAAATCAACACTTGCCAACTCATTTATCAGCATGCAAGAACACACCAATAACAGCAAACTAAGGTGCTATAAATAGCAACAAGTAAACTTTCCACCTCATTGCCTGGCAGACACTAGCAATATAGCAGTCGAATGTCGTGATCAATACTGTTGATAGCCTGACTCTACATCGCAAGGCAAGCGATTGAATTTTCATTTATACAAAAAACCAAACAAAAAACAACATTTTCTATAGCAAATGCCAAAAGAGAAAGTCTTATTTTTTTGGCATCATTGTTTTATGGAATTGTAAGCTAGCTTATAAAGACAGTAACTGAATCTAGGCATTCCAGGGCTTCTTGCCCCCTAATTTTGGTGTGATCTATTTCTGTTGACTAGAGAATTGGAGAGCATGGAAAAACATTGAGAGTGGATGTTGCTGAGGGACGTCGAGATGGAGGCCGTGGTGGCGGAAGAGGTGGACAAAGAGGAGGCAGAGGTTAGGGAGTCTTCATCTTAACCCCTTACATCCTTACATCAGTATGCATATTCTCCATACTGATCTCTATTTATTTCTTATGGTGCTGACAAGGAGAATTTGTTTAACAATCAAGAGCTCCCTAAGTTGTTAATCATTTCCTTTATGCTTGTGACATTAATGTGTGATTTAGGGGTGATATCTATGGAAAAATTAAATGCTGGTCATTCTTAGAGGTTAAAGGATTGATACTCATTATTCATTTATCTTTATGCCATTCAAATAAATCTATTTCATACTTTTTTAGGTGGCTATGATGACAGACGTGGAAGATATGGAGGTGATGGTAGGTAGTTTTACTTTGTTTTGGGATTCATAGGGAGAAGGAAAAAAATTGCCAACTAGGTGTGTAGCTTAAGTTGCCAATGTGATCAAAATGAAACCTCTCTCTTACAACACCAGTAAATGGGGTATAGAAACAGAAAAACATTGTTTATGATGGAATGTTGTCTTGATTCTCAGTAGAGTGTTTGGGCTCAAAATAAAAGGCAATGCATATTTGTATACTGGAAGAGGAATTACCAGAAATCAGATCTGAGGATTGAAACAATGGTTAAATCCTTTCACTCCTAAGATCTCATTAGTAATTCTCCATACTTTCTATCATGAAATTCTTATAGTGCTAGTTCAGAGAATTTGGCACTGGATCAACTCATAACCCCTCAATTGATATTTTTCTTTATTCTCATCACTTGTCCCCCTGATATTGTACTGGTATTGTAAGGAGAAATTCTGTCTTGGTCACTCATGGGAGTTCAAAGTTAATCAAGTTAACCCTTTAACTCCCAAGATCTCACTAGTAATTCTCCTTACTGTTTACCATACAGTTCTTGTGATGTTAGTTTTGAGAATTTGGTATTGGATCAACTTATCCCCTTATTGATATTTTTCTTTATTCTCCTCATTTGTCTACTTGATATTGTACTGATATTGTGAGGAGA